CGGCGGGGAAAGTTCGCGCACAAGGAAGGGGGAGGATTAGCGTCCAAGAGCTAATGTGGTGTCACAGGGGACACCACACAGGCAGGCGGGTGGGGACCGCAGCCTCCTTCCTACTCCTCTGACGTGGGGCCTCGAGACTCCAGCAGGCTGCTCTCCGAGTGCCTTTCGATTTTGGAGAGGGACCCAATCTGCCTCATTCCAACTAGAAACATCGCGAGTGTAAAAATACCTGAAGGCAGCGTGGGGTCTGATGCTACTGGACCCGCAGCTAAAGCTGGCCAGCTCCCTCCCACCGGTCAGCCTGCGTTAAGCCCCGTACTTTGAGAAGCCCTGAGTTTCTGCGGCCCCTGCAACCACAAACCTTGATTCTGAAGCCCGAGATGAATAGATTTAATCGACCCGAAGGGGCCAAGAAACCAGTCAGAAAGGCCAGCAGTCCTCCACCGCGGCTCTGAACACACAGCGGTCAAGGCTCAGATGGCTCACACCATCTGCCACCCCCAGAAAGGAACTCTGAGCCTCGGTGACCTTTCCAGAAGACTTGAGAAGCAGGAGCCCTAGCGGGCGGGGGTAGGACTGTGCCTTTTGCACCCAGTGGCGCATCGTTAAGTAGAAGCCCGGCTTGTGGAGGGTTTGTACGTACGCCTGGCTTGTGTTTGCTCTGAGCTGGGCAGCTCGCTTCTACAGGAGCGGGGAGCAGTCAGGTGGCAGCTCGTCCGGCTGGGCGCAGCATCCCAGGTAGACACCCAGACAGAGGCCCTGTCCTTTGGGCCGTAAATCAGCAATTAGCCGAGAGCCCCGTACTCCTTCCATCCGGTCTCCGTGGAGGGTGGCGGTCTGCAGGCAGAGGGCTCCCAGGAGGGGCCTGCCCCTTCCTTCCCACAGGCGGAGGGGGGAGGGGCAAGAGGAGGGGCCGCACGTGCCACCGTCCCTTGTGTCCCCGAGTAATTGTGTCCCCAGGGTCGGCACCACCCGGGAGACCGAGAAACCGCCTCCCCATCATCCGTTCTCATCACCGATGTCATTGTGCCGTCCTGTCCCCGTCTGTACCTTCCCTCTTTCGCTCCTGTGGGGAAGCCGGCCACGGGCAGTGACTGGTAGAACCCGAGAGTTCTGCCCACCCTGCGTTTTTAAGCTTGGGAAGTAAGGCCAGCCCCCCTGGCTTCTGGCGTTTCTGGTCTCACTTCACTTTCCCATTTCATTCTCAACAAAGCAAACACGGGGGCAGGGAGCTTTCCAGCTTCGTCTAGGGCTGCCCTAACACATGGGGCAGCTTAAACACTGGAGACGCGCCCTGTCTCTCTGTTCTGGGGCGGGGAGGTCCCAGACCAAGGTGTGTGTGGGGTCGTTCGTTCTCAGGCCACGAGGGAGAACCTGTTCCAGGCCCCTGTCCTTGGTTTACTGATGGCCATCTTCTCCCTTCCTAACTTCCTCTTCTTACAAGGACACCTGTCATATGGGATTGAGCTCACCCTAATGACCTTTTACTTGATTACCTCTGCAAAGACCCCAGCTCCAAGTAGAGAGTCACCTTCTGAAATCCTGGGGGCTAGGACTCCAACGTATGATTGTAGGGGACATAATTCAACCCGTAACAAACCGGAATGGCTTTTACAGGGCACCCCGTCCACCTCTGTGGTTTATAGAAGGAGAAACTGAGGCAGAGAGAGAGAGAAAGTGACCACCACCAACAGCTCTCCTTCCGGATGATCGCAGGGTGCCAGGAAGCATGTTGGGTGTCGTTCACGTGTGGCCCCACCCAAGCCCACCCTGGAAGCAGGTGTGTTGGCTCCCGGATGCAGATTATCTGGGGCACCGGCATCTGGAACAGCGGGGAGCAGAAATGCATCTATGTCTCCTATCGTGAGTTCCCATTTCTATTGTTATGGGAATCTTCGTCTCTTTGTTCCCTTTTAAAAAACGTTTATGTCCTTATTTTGAAAGAATGGGAAAGAAGAGAACAAGCTTGGATGGGCGGAGAGAGAGAGAGACAGAGAGAGGCGAGCCCAAGCAGGCTCTGAGACGTCAGCAGAGAACCTGGCACAGGGTTTGAACTCATGAACCATGAGATCACGACCTGAGCCGAGATCAAGAGTCAGACGCTTAACCGACTGAGCCACCCAGGCGCCCCTCTTTGTTCCTGAACATCACTTATCACTTGCTTGTCTCCTCATTTGGTAAAGTCTTCTGTGGGGTGACAGCTCCCTGAGGCCTTCCCTGGGTCCCAGCCTGGCTTGTGTTTTTCACGTGCACCCCCAGAGTCGCAAGATGTCTGTCACGGCCCCTGCGCATGCCCCTGGCCTAGCACCTGCCCGCTGTCTCCGGGACTTATCTGTGAGGTGAGAGTCATGTCTTAATAAAGAAACCACCTCATGCCAAAATAATCCAGGTGGCCAGTAGAGTTCCGGGAAGCTCGTGGCAGGGAGCTGTCTCCCCAACGCGTGGCAAGAATCCTGACGCTTCCCTGTCCACGGCCGCTTTCGGTGTCCTTGGCAATGACTGCCACTGCTGCCCCGAACTCGGTGCCCCTTCCTCAGCCCTCCATCCCAGGCCGTGTCTCCCCACTGCCCCATCCCTGACGCTCTGCCGCGAAGTGTAGGCACTGACAACACCCGGGACTTTCACTCCAGACGTTTCTACGTCCCAGACAAGGAAACAGAGGCTCCGTTGCTCTACTCGGCTCAGGTGGGTCACGGAGTCAGGACGGCCTGAGGTTCTCAGGACTCCCAAGTCGGGCCCTCCCACCACCCTCAGGCTGGGAAGGAGGGGATCGGGCAGGGTTTCTGATTCTCCTGGGCCACAGTCCAAGGCAGACCGCATGTCGACAAACGGAGTATTCAAGCGGATGGACCGAGAGCACACGGTCAGTGAACAAAACACGAATGGAGTCAACGTGCTGACCCCAAGCTAAACGCACAGAGTGTAAAGGTGAGTATGTTGGCTGGAAAGAAGTCCGTGGCCACACTGCTCCTCAGTATTAACGATTGTTTCTGGTCAGTAGGGGAGGAGTTAATCCAATGGGCTCTATTCCTTGCGCGAGGCCAGAGCAGTTGGAAGAGGAGTTCTCCACTCATTTTTAAATGAGACCTGGGGGGCACCCGGGTGGCTCAGTCGGTTGGGCGTCCGACTTCGGCTCAGGTCATGATCTCACAGTTCGTGAGTTCGAGCTCCGCGTTGGGCTCTTTGCCGACAGCTTGGCGGAGCCTGGAGTCTGCTTCAGATTCTATGTCTCCCCCTCTTTGCCCCTCCCCTGCGTGTGCTCTCTGTCTCAAAAATACATAAAAATATTAAAAAAAATTTTTTTTAAATAAATGAGACCTGGGAACATAAATGCTTTATTCAGGGCCTTATGGGGTCCGGGGACACGGCGGGGTGTCCCAGGTCCCAGGATATGACTTCGGTCCTTTCCTGGGGTGCCCTGCTGAGACCCCGAGCTCCGTCCCCGACTCTCCCATGACAGGCAAGGTGTCTTCTCTGGTCTTCCCTCGGCCCCAGCACCCCGCTGTGGTCACGCCCGGCCAAGCCCTCTGCCCCGCATCGGAGGCAGCACGAATTTTGCAATTTGGAAGTCAAGAAAGAAACTCTTGGTGGCCACCCCATCTGCACATTTGATGTGATAGCATTTGGTATTGTTTTCCTTTTGAATCCCTTCAAGGCAAGGTGCCGGAGTATCTAATGGCCTCTGCTGGACCCGGCAGGACAGCGAGGGGCAGTTCTGGACTCTCACTGCCAGGGCCCCAGCTGCCCAGCTCTGTCTTCCCGAAACCTCTACAAGGGATATAGTTGTGTGTGTGTGTGTGTGTGTGTGTGTGTGTGTGCACGTGCACGTACACGTGTCCACTCTTGTCTGTGGTCAGTGCTGGGGCTCGTGCTGCAGGGACCAGGCCCCCAGACAGGTGCACGGGACCCCTCTAGTTGGTGCCAGTCCTGGCGGAAGCTGGTGCTGCCTCAGGGTCACTGCAAGGAGCCAGCCAGGTGACGGACGTTGAGGTCTGGCTGGTGTTCTGAGGGTCTGCCCTTCTAGTGGCCCCGGGCAGTGGCAGAAAGGGAGGAAGAAGATTGACAGGCCGCCACAGCCCTGCTCCCGAGAATCCTGTCCGGGCGCTGGGTGGCCTCCGGGTGGCGCCGTGTCCTCAGACAGCTCTGTCCAGCAGACCTCGTATCAGTGTCCCCCCGACCCATGCCACTGGTGGTGCAGGGAGGTGACCTGGTGACGTGCGGCTGCCCAGCTGGAAGCCCTTAACCTGGGGCTACCCACACCCGCCCTGGTGCCCCCAGACATGGCGAAAGGCTCAAAAGGCCAGCACGTGGGGTGCAGGGCTCCCCGCCCCTCCCGGCGATGTGTCTCCCCCGTTACCCCGCCCACCTGGACCGGACCCCAGCCAGACTCGCCTTCTTAGCTGCAGACTGTGACCCTTCTGGGGTTTCTGGGCAAGGGCTCCGAGCTCCCCTGTAGATACAGGTGTTCCTTCCTTAACCTCCCCCTGCTGGGTGCACAAGGCTCTGGGGGGCCGGACAGCTGCACGCGGGGCCCAGGGTTAGACGTATTCAGAGCAGTCTGGCCCCTTCTGGGAACGTGAAGGAGGGGCATGGGTGTGGGGGTGAGGCTGTGGGGAAGGCTCTGCAGAGCCAGGGGTGGTGGGGGGTAAGGGGGAGGCTGGCCTCGGCCTCGGAACGGGGATGGACGCAGGATGCACAGTCTCCACGTCACAGGCAGGAGGAGGTCTGGACAGCGGTGCTGTCTAGCCCGGGGGGCTTCGGGGAGGCCAGACGCACAGAGGGGCCCAGGTCAGCCTCACCCGCTTTCCCAAGCCTGCGTCCATAGCCCTCTGCACCGCGTCAGGGATGGCAGCTTCTAGAAAGTTGTACGATTACCCATGGCACACTGCCTCACACCCTCTCTTGTCCCTTCTAAAGCGAAGCAGTGGTCAACTCTGTGACCTGGTTCACGTTTCTCGGGCTGATTCCTTGCTGTGAAGTACAGAAGAGGAGAGGGAAGGCCGGGCTGCAGGGACATCTTTATTATTCCTGGGAGGGGGCAGGGTACACAGCCACGTTGCAGTCACCGAGCTTGTTAAAAACATCTCAATAAATAAAACAAATAAGCAACATATACACTGAAACAGAAAATATTTTAAAAAATGGTTAGCTGAGCAAATCACGAGAGAGAGAGAGAGAGGCAAGGGGTGAGAAGGAGTCCAGGCTTGCTTGGAACGATCATGCAGAGGCTGGGGGGGGGGGGGGGGGGGGGGGGGGCATGCGAGGTTCTTTGTCTGAGAGCCTTGGTCCAGTTTAAACAGAGTTGTACAGGAATGCATTTCTGTTTTATTAAAAAAATATACATTAAAAAGGCACTTAGAGGGAAATACAAATCCAAAATTTAAATCCTCGTAAATACGTTCCTGAATCTAGAGATTTTCAGAAAGAACAAACCCCCCTCCCCGCCAAAAAAAAAAAAAAAAAAAAAACCCAGAAGGAAAATCCAAACAGTGGCAAGGACAATAATGACCATGTCACCAGCAGGGACCGTCTCGGGGGAGGAGGTGTGCGGCCCGGGGTCCTCTATCCAAGCCGCTGCTGTCCCCGTGTCTGGACGCTGTGCCGGGAGCAGAGCTGGGCCCCTTGAGGTTGCACAGGTGTCAGAAGTGACAGACGTGGAGGTGCCCCGATTCCACTTGGGCCTCGGCCCCGCAGGACAGCCTGGAAGACAAGGGAGAGGGAACATGAGCCCTCACTGCATGCAGGTGTGCGTGTGTGTGTGTGTGTGTCTGTGATGTGTGTGTGCGGTCCTAGGCCCTCTCATCACGCGTGGATCCCGGCACCCCCCACCGTGATCAGGGCACACAACCGTCCCGTCTCTGAGGGCCCGCAAGCGCGTGTAAGGGTCTGCCGGAGCGTGTGTGTGACGTGCACAGCGTCCTGTTCAAAGAGTGTGTCCAGGGGCCACCCAGAGCACCCCCTCCCAGCCCCCCTGCCTGACCGTGGGACCGGCCGGCGAGGCGCCAGGTCAGAAGCCCAGCCCACGGACGAGGGGCCACGCTCTCCCAGAACCGCCACGGCCTTCCTGTGAGGAAGGTGGGCTCACCCAGGGGGCCTCGTCGCCTGGAACGTGGCGGGGTTAGGACAGAGACCCGATGGAGAGGCAGTGAGAGGGAGTGCGCGCCAAGGGACCCAGCGGTGGGGTCCCCAGACCGCGCCCACGAGTCCCGCTCGAGAGGACGTGCTTCCCGGAAAGAAGCTCGGGCGGGGTGTGATCTCCAGACCGTAGACAGACGTGGCCGCTGTGAGCCACGGTCACCAGTCACGGTAGTGGGAAGCCCAGGAAGACGGGGGTCCTGCTGCTGGGCATGGGCGTCTGCTCAGGGCCTGTCCGCCTGTTGCAAAGGTGCTGCAGGTGCCAAGGGCGAGGACGGCTGGGCCCCACACCTCGCTCCAGGGGGCAGCTCGCGGCTAGGGCCACTTCCAGCCGGTCGCCGGCTGTTCTGGGACCGAGGGCTGCTGATGGCCTCGTCCCGCAGGACCCCCGTCCCACAGAACGCTTGGCAGCTTGCAACCAATCCCGACCTATGTCATCCTTCCCAGGAGCCCCTGAACTTTGTTAGGGATTCTTTAGACTGGCTGGTGGGCACTCCGGCTCCCAGTGATCTTTACCGCCTACCCCAGGGCCCGGTGCGCACAGCACGCACCTCCTCATCTGGAGAACAAAGAAATAACCAGATCAACTTCATAACCAAAGGAGGCAAGTCCATTCATCAGAGTCGTCTATGTGCTGGGGCCACCTGGTCCTGGGGGCAAAACGATGCTTGAGGCAGGCCTTTCCCCTGCCCCCGATGCGCTGTGGCCGGGGGTGGGGTGGGGGGCTGCCGGACCCAAGTGCTGAGACAGAAGGATGAGGTTTGCAATGAGGCCGGCAGGGGCTGGGGGTGGGGAGGAGTCAGGAATGGCTTTACCAAGGAGAAGCCTGAGAGGAGGGTCACTGTAGGAACTTCCCTCCAGGATAAGAAGTCAAGGACGGGCACCCCAGGTCCTGGGACCGTGATGTGTAAGGGTACAAAAACACAGAAGGATTTTTGATCCGGTGACGGGTGACAACTTCCACAGTGTGTTGTGGGTGTGCATGTGAGTGTGAGTGTGTGTCCCTCATACTACTGGGCAGTTGCAAGCAGGAAGCTTACCCCTCTCCCTGCACCCCCAACTCCCTTCCCCCAGATCCCTAGAGAATTCTAGAAAGCCCCGCTGGGCCAAGACAAAGGACTAAGAAGTTTAAGACACATTTTCCCTGAAAGAAACTCATGTGTGTGAAAACATGCACACACACACACACTTCTTTTCTTTCGAGCCCAGAGCACTCCAAATATGTACGCCTTTCTAAGTGGTCCTGGGCAGAAAGTCAAAGGCTGCTCTCTCTTGGAGAATGTGGTTGTAATTAGATAATTAATAAGGGGGGCAGCTAGAGAAAGGTAAATGGAAGCCTTCCTCAGAGGGAGGAAATAATTACAACAGTTTTTGATATATGAGCCGCACCAACCCTCCAAGGGGAAATACAGTATCATCCATGAAAAGCCAAAAATGACAGAGGCCGTCCCCCAGTAGTGGTGAGTTTCAGGGCTGCTTCGTGTACCCGCGGGGCCCAGGGCTCAGGCAGAAATGAGCAGGTTCATTCGTCTTCTTGACCGAGAGCCTGTGGGCCTGGCCCCCCTGATGTCACCCTGACCCCGGCCATGTCTGCTGACATGGGCAGCGTTCTCAGCAACAAATGTAAAACATGTGGGGCCCAGGACTGCCTCCCGCGTGTAACAGCCACCTGAAACCATATGCGTGTGCCCTGTCTGTAGTTCACTCCCCACATCTGTCTGCCTTGCAGAGATTGGGGGGGGGTGGTGACGGGCAGAGCGGCGGGGCAGCGGCTACACTGAGAGGGTGACTTTGCTTCTCTCTGCCACACCAGACCCTTGGGCACAAATATGCAGTAAAGGGTCTTAGTTGACTATTAATTCCAGGACTTAACCCAGGGAGTGAAACAATAAAAATTCTCCAAAAGGTGAGGCAGGGGCTTCAGGGGGAAGATTTTATTAAAAGGCCTTCCATCCATCCACCCATGTACTCACCATCCATCCATCGTCCATCCACCTTTCACATATCTACCCCCCCACCCTTCCTTCCTTCCATCCACCCACTCATCTATCCACCCACCCACCCATCCATCCATCCGTCTATTCACCCACCTACCATCCATCCATCCATCCATCTGTCCATCCACCTACCATCCACATATCTACCCCCCACCCTTCCTTCCCTCCACCCACCCACTCATCTATCCACCCATCCACCCATCCATCCATCCGTCTATTCACCCACCTACCTTCCATCCATCCATCCATCCATCAATCATCCATCCGTCATCCATCTTCTTAACATGTATGGAGCTTCTATCATGTGCCAGAAATGCTAGTAGTTATTTAAAAAGCCCAGAAATGAAACAGAGAAATCTAACAGGGGAGAGGAAACCTGTTTGTAAGCAACTAGAACACACAGTAGACAGTGGCAACTTTTTAAACAAAGTACAAGGCAGACTGTGCAGCCAGAAAGGGAAGGGACAAAGTACCTTGAACTTTGTGGGACACTGCCAACAAAAGGCAGGGTAGGGAGTAAGGGTGGAGGGGAAATGGGCACAGATGTGTGATCTCTAATCAGTACAGCACACGCACACGCACACGCACACACACACACACACACACACACACACACACACACGCTCCTGAGATTTTGCCAGTGGAGATGGGGGGGGGGGGTGTTGAATGTGAGTCTCAGGAAGGCAGGAACTGCGCACAGAAACCCCGGAGCATGGCCACCTTGCAGAGCGCGGAGCAGATGCCCTGAGCCTCACCCAGGCCCTCGTCGCCCCCTTCGGCCTGAAAAGGGGAGGAGTCTGCCTCCCTCAGACCCGACATTGCCCAGCTCACTCGAAGGAGCCACCACCGGCCAGTCCGCACTTGCTGCCACTTGTTGTTTCTCCCCTCCCAGTCACTATGCCAAAAACAAAGACCCCCAGCTCCTGGGCTCCAGAACACCGGGACTGGGGGGACGTGCCCTATGCAGATGGACAGTAATGAACCCAGTGGTGGAGCTGATGGCTGCCACCTCCCTGGAGGGTCTTGCCCATCCCACATGGGCCAGTCCCCCTGCTTGGGCACTCATCGAGCACCGTTGTTCAGCTGGGGCCCGCCGTGCCCTCGCCAAGCCTGGACGCAGCCTTCTGACCATTTGAACATGGCTCCTCGGGGTTGGCTGGGGGCATAGAACCCACTTACTAACACCAATCAGACGTGCCATAAATACGAGTGGAAACCATGTGATGCCTCACATCGGGCAACTGGGGACCACGGCGGGGAGATTAGCAAGCCAGGCGCCTCACAAGTGGCCCAGAGCACGAGGATCAAACTTTCCGGACGGTGGAATTTACCATTTGGAGAGAAGCCACGGAGAGTCTGCATGGAGAAAGTAAGGCTGCTCTGCTTTCAGAGAGAAGGAGCAACCAGGAAGTAAGAAAAGGGCTCTTGGAAATCGCAAAACGTCTGGAAGTGGAGTATTTCTCAAGTAATGGAAGCAAACTAGCAAAACAGACCTGATAAAAAACGATCAATAAATCAGAGACTGACTCATGGAGGTCTCCAGCATCCGAGCAAAAAACAAGGAATGTGGAAGGAGGGAGGAGAGGCGGCCACAAAAGAGATATGGGGGAAGACGTCCCCAGGCTCAAGGAAGATTGACGGTCCCAGACTAAAGTGACACAGAGTTCTGGAAAGAAGAGCTGACAACACGGGTAAGCATGCCACATCACAAGGAAAGTTCTGGATTCTGAGTACAGAAAGCCTCCTACAGGCTTCCAGACAGAAAAAGAAACAAAAAAGCACCCAACGAAGGCCACCCGCTGACAGCCAATCCCAGGATGCCCCGTGTTCCTGCGGAAAGGGGTCCATGGACCACATCGGGGAGCAGAAGGAACATGTTGAGGCATATACGGCTCAGAAAGTGCCCCCCCCCCTCCAGGAGCCACTTCTGGGCAAATACTACTTGAAAAGGTCTTTCCACCCAGATGAAGAGTCACTAGGGCTTCTGTCTCCCCAAGTACAGCAGCAAATAACGCGACAATCGTCCCACCGCAAAATGAGCAGGCAAATAGGAACTGGGGGAGGAAAGCCTCAGAGGTCAAAGGTAAAGCAGAGGCCACATCTGTGGGTCCCCAGCCAGCCCGAGCTCCCGCCCAGCCAAGGCCACAGGACCGCACACCAGACAGCCCCATTCATTCATAACCACCACACCCTCCGATTTGCACTCTGCCTACCAACCTCACTCAAGAAAAGGCAGGAAATCTGAATGTATCAACATTTGTAAGATAAGGTGACCAGGCTACCCAAGATCCGTATCTGCCCTACAAAGAACCCGGGGCCAGATTCTTTTACAAGGGCATTAAATAGAACCTTCTGTGACCAGGTCATTCCCATCCGTATTACTTGAGCTGTTCCAGAATTTAAAGACGAGGAAACACTTCCCATTTTGTTTATTTTTATTATTTACTTTTCTGAAGGTTATTTTTTAGAGCGGTTTTAGGTGCACGGCAGAATCGTGGCGCGGGTAGAGAGGGATTCCATGTGCCCCCTTCCCCCCTTCCCCTGCCCCACGCGCGGCCTCCCCCATAA